ACATTATATATATATATATATATATATATATATATATATATAATATAACATATGTATGTATGTGTAATACATAATATATATGTATGCATATGTACGTACGTATTATATTATAAATAATCAATTAAAGGTTTGTTTTGAAAGTAAGTAAAAATATATGTAGATATATACTCGAATATATATATATATTTTTTTCGTTTTCCTCTTTCTTTTCCTCTTTGTCTCTCATATCTGCACCATATATATTTCTTGACGCACAACGTCTCGCATCTATATAATATTTATATATATATTTATATATATATATATATTATTTTTTATTTATATAGCTTCGTTTATTTATCTCGCTTTTGTATCTATTCCATGAGTGTGTTGTGTGTATGTGTGAATTCATGTGTATGTATGCTGTGCGCGCGCGCATTTGTATAAATGTAATTTTTCCCACTCGGGAAAACAATGACGAGTGCGACTCACGATAGTTTTCGAGACAAATAACAATGACTTAAAATAGAATTTTCTTCTTCCATCAATTTAGATTTTTCACATTTTGCTTTTCCTATTAACTCTTACTAAGTATTACTATAAATTCAGAAAAATATAACAAGTCACTAATAGAGATATTCTAATCCAATCAAAATTTCCTTAAACAACAAAAAGATAAAAAATTATCTTATTCTTTTAATTTCTCATAATTCTAATTATATTTCGTAGTTATTTAATAATTTTCGATTTTTAAAACATTTATTTTTGTTAAGATATTATAACTTCGTGCACGAGGATATAAAATAATTCGAGAGCTTCACGTTTCAAACGTATAGCTACATTTTATATCATCTTTGTCTACATAAAATTTAGAAAATCGAAGGATTTTTGTCTCTAAATTAATTTTTCATTAAAAATCGTAAAAATATCGTAAAAATATACAGATATAATATATATAATATATCATATCTAATCATTATTTAATAACAATCGTTATATTACCGTTAATCATTATTTATTATTAACATAATATAACAAATGTAATATTAATTACGTCATCAGACCAGAAATTTTATCGCGAGTCGTTACTCGTCGGTCATAATATTTGTATAACTCGTCCTTAACACTATAAAAGAGTTGTCCATCGTCATCGATTCGTTCCCTTTGCACTTTCTCTTGCGCCCAAAGATTAACTCCCACGAGAAAAATGATCAAGTCGTGCCTCAAATCATCCCAATAAAACTCGACGAGTTCTCACTATTGTCCATCATGCGAAAGGCTCAATTACTAACACACGACACGCCTTATGATAAAAATTAACAGTCCGACAATCATGAGCGCCCCAGAAAATCGACCGCGGGACCATTCCACATCGTCGAGAAATCAACGTCGTCGCTATCCTGCTCTTCAGAGAGCGTATAATACGAAATAGTATAAAATAATAAAAAGCGAACAAGGCCTCGAAGAGGAGAACAGCACGACGAACAACATCGAAAGAGAATCGAAAGAGAACGAAACGGAAAAAAACGATGGACAACAAATTGGACAATCACGTGGTAGCGAGCCAGGCCGCTTGCCTCTCCCGCTCCTCTTCTTCTCCCCCTTTTTTTTCGTCTGTATAAAAAATCTTAAATCTAAGCCTACGTAATTCGAAACATTTAAAATGAGCAAACGAGCCTTTCGTTTTCACCGACTACGTTTTCTCCCGCGCGTCATTTGCCGCGCGCTCCGCGCTTTTCTTCAGAACGAAAAGGGAGACGCCTTGCCGATCTTCCTCGCTCGTTCGCCTTTCGTCGTACGATATAAATCCGGAAGAGATAAACGCGTGGAGATGAAAAGTATCGCCATTCATGTCACTCCCATACATACATTCCACATGAATCTAAAATTAACGTACATCGCGTTTTGAAATGGCATACTTTGCATTCGCATTCTTCAATTTATTTGCACCTAACGCCGAAAGGTGATGGTTTGATTTTCAATGTGAATATTAATAACAATCGAACGACCGCGTTTAGATCACGGATGCCGTGATAACAATCGACATTTATTTGGACATGTTTGATAAAACACTTTAAGATTTTTCTAAAAACACGATTTTTACTCTATTTCTACTCAGATATAACGGATAGATGAGATTGAAGGAATTAAATGTTGAATAATAATAATTAGTTTGATCTCAACTCTCCCTTTCTCTCTCTTCTCTCTCAATCATCATCACTTCGATATTTATAATCCAATTTATCTATTCAGATCGCAAGTTTACGTTTTCCAACTTTCTGTTCGACTTCGACTATGGTGACAGAAGTGGAATTTAAGGAACCACAGACTGCATTGAACGTGAAGCGTTTCCGATACACTCTCGCCATTTACCGACCGCTCTGTAAATGTGAGATTTCTCAGACACGCATCCGTGCGCTTTTTTATTTTGCTTCGTGATGGTTCAAAAATCAGGACACAACAATCAGAATAAAAAGGATAACAATATAAAAGATAAAACAAACGTTTCTAATTCTCATTACATGAATATTGTTCATGTCGCAGGATAAAGACTAGCATCAACAATTGCAAATTGTCAAATAATTTTTGTTTCGTATTCATTTTTTTTGTACTGGCAATTTTACTTCTTAGTTTTCATATTTATTCTTATTTCCAATTTTTGCGTCCTGATCTTTCCTCTCATTGCTGTTACCTTTGAGACCATTCAGAGTCAAGATAAACTCCGACAGCGAGAAAGATCGACTCGACACGTTAATCGCGAGAACGATACATTGATTTCTTGGCAAAAAGGAAAGTTTAAGATTACATTTGAGGAAGAAGAAAGAAATATACAAAAGTATAGAAAGTATAGAAAAGCAGAAAAGAAAAAGGATGATGAGGAATTAGGGACAAAAGCGATCGGAAACGACAAACGCGATAACTTT